ATGGTGATGGTGATGGTGATGGTGATGGTTATGATGCTGATGATGCTGCTGCTGATGACGATACTGATGATGCTGATGATGATAATATCGATACTTATGTTGGTAATGATGATGCTAGTAACGATGCTGATGCTGATGCTGATGATGATGACGGTGATGATGCTGGTGGTGATGATGATTATGCTGCTGATGATGCTGATGATGATGATGGTGATCTTGATGACGATGATGATGGTGATGATGGTGATGATGCTGATGTTGATGCTGATGATGATGCTTGTGATGATGATGATGCTGATGATGACGATGATATCGGTGATGATGATGATGATGGTGATGATGATGCTGGTGATGATGATGCTGATGATGATGACGATACAAACGATAATGATGACGGTGATGTTGATGATGATGTTGATGATGGTGATGATGATGATGATTGTGATGATGGTGGTTGTGATGATGGTGATGCTGCTGATGATGGTGGTGGTGATGATGATGCTGCTGATGATGATGTTGGTGATGATGATAATGCTGGTGATGATGATGCTGGTGATGATGATGTCGGTGATGATGATGATGATGGTGATGATGCTGATGGTGATGCTGATGCTGATGGTGAAGATAATATCGATGATGATGATGATGGTGGTGGTGATGCTGATGATGCTGATGGTGATGATGATGCTGATGATGATGGTGATGATGATGATGATGGTGGTGTTGATGATGCTGATGATGATGCTGATGATGATAAGACCGATGATGCTGATGATGATGATGATGATTGTGGTGCTGTTGATGATTACGATGTTGATGATGATGCTGATGATGATGATGATGGTGCTGATGATGATGATTATGATGTTGTTGTCGTTGATGATGATAGTGATGATGATGATGTTGCTGATGATGATGATGGTACCAAAGATGATGATGCTGATGATGATGATGATGTTGATGATGGTGATGATGCTGGTGATGATGATGATGCTGCTAATGATGCGCATGATGACGATGATGTTGATGATGCTGATGATGATAATAACGATGATGCTGGTGATGACGATGATGATGGTGATTAACCGCATGCCGATGATAATAAAGGGACCCCCCCCTTCAGTGTTTAGAGTTGATTATCGTCGCCCTATACAAAATTCAAATTGGGCGGCGAGCGCTGAGGCCGAACTTCATTATCACCTCGAAACGCTATGTTGAGATAGCAACATCAAGCGATGTTGATATAGCAACATCAAGCCTGGCGATCACACTTTTTCAGGATGTGTCAAGCGAAACCAATAATTTTGGGAGGCAGACTCAAACGAAACGAGCAATGTTCTTATTATTCTTCTACTTTCCTCTTCTTCTTTTATATTTCAATCTGTCCTCACGCTCGCCTGAACGTTTTTTATCCCTGGGGTTGATTATCCATGGAAAATGAAGCACATGAGCTACCCTACACGAGCACTTAAAAAAATCAATTTTCATAAAGCGTTTGTAAATTAAAATTGATAGATTTGGAACTTTGGATTTTTCCTTTCTTCGTCCTCTTCTTATTCTCCTCTTCTTCTTCTTTCTTATTGTTCTTCTACTGTATTCTTCTTCTTTTATATTTCTCTCTGTCCCCACGCTCGCCTGAACTTTTTTATCTCTGGGGTTGATTATCCGGAAATTGAGGCACATGAGCTACCCTACACGAGCACTTACAAAAAACAATTTTCATGAGAGGTAAGCCATTGTTGAGGATATTTCTATGAAAACTAAACGCCAAGGATGTCTCAAAACGTGCTCGGCTTGGTCTCCTCTTGATCATCTCTTACTTCGAGATTATGCTGAGGTCTACTGGGCTACTTTTATTATCTCTCCCTGAACCCCGAACTTTATTATCCCCTAGTGTTTATTCTCACGGGCATGAGGTTATGATGGTGATGATGGTGATGATGCTGCTGCTGATGATGATGTCGGTGATGATGTTGGTGATGGTGATGATGGTGATGATGATGCTGATGATGATGGTAACGATGATGATGATGCTTCTGTTCATGATGATGATGCTCATGTCGGTGATGATGCTGGTGATGATTATGATGATTGCATTGGTTTTGGTGATGATAGGATAATGCTGCTGCTGATGCTGGTGATACCTGTATGATGGTATGATGCTGATGATGCTCGTGAGGACGATGATGATGATCATGATGATGGTGATGATGAGTATGATGATGATGGTGATGGAAGTGATTGTGATGATGGTGCTGCGCTGGTGGTGATGCTGCAGCTGATGATGCTGATGGTGATGTCCGTGATGCTGCTGGTGATGATGATGCTGATGATGCTGCTGCTGATGATGATCATGCTGATGCTGCCGCTGATGTTGATGATGTCGGTCATGATGATGATGATGCTGGTGATGATGATGACGCTGGTGATGATAATATCGATGATGATGACAATATGGGGGTAGTGGTGGTGATGATGATCGCGATGCTGCAGATGCTTCTGCTGATGATGATGGTGAGGCTGATGATGATGATTATGTTGGTGATAACGATGGTGATGATGATGATAGGTTTGTTGATTTTGATCATGATGCTGGTGATGATGATGATGGTGACGTCGGTGATGGTGATGATACTGCTTGTGATGATGATGCTGATTGTGATGATGGTGATGATGTTGCTGATGATGATGACGGTAAGAACGATGATCATGATGATGACGAGGGTGATTCTGATGATGATGCTGCTGATGGTGATGATGCTGATACTGATGATGATGCTGCTGTCGGTGATGATGATGGTGATGATCGCGATGCTGATGACAGTGATGATCATGCTGTCGATGATGATGATGATGATGATGATGATGATGATGAGGATGGCGATGATGATTCTGATGAGGAAACTGAAAGCGATGATGATGATGATGATGCTAATGATGATGATGATGATGATGATGATGATGATGCTGCTGAAGCTGCTGCTGATGATGGTGATGCTGCGAATGATGATGATTATGATGATGATGATGGTAGTGATGACGATGTCGATGATGAGGATGGTGATGCTGCTGCTGCTGCTGATGATGTCGATGAGTCGGTGATAATGCTGCTGCTGATGATGATGGTGGAGATGATGACGCTGATGCTGATGTTGTGATGATGCTGAATATTATTATGATGATGCTGCTGCTGTTGCTGCTGATGATGGTGATGCTGCAACTGATGATGATCATGAGGATGATGATGATGATGATGCCGATGATGTCGGTGATGATGCTGCTGGTGATGATGCTACTGATATCGATGGTGTTTTTGATGATGCTGATTGTAATGCTGATACCGATGATGGTGATGATGATGATGATGATGATGATGATGATTGTGGTGATGATGGTGATGATGGTGATGCTTATGATGATAGTGATGCTGCTGATGATGGTGATGCTGCCGATGATGCTGCTGATGCTGAGGATGATGCTGATGATGATGCTGATGTAGGTGATGATGATGATGATGATGCTGATGGTGCTGCTGCTGATGATGATGATGATGATGATGCTGATACTCCTGATGCTGCTGCTGATGCTGATGGTGATGATGATGGTGATGGTGATGATCATCATAGTGATGATGATGATGATGATGATGCTGATGATGCTGATGATGATGCGGATGTCGGTGATGATGTCGGTGATGATGATGATGGTGATGATGAGGGTTGTGACGATGATGACGCTGATGATGAGGATGGTGATTATGATAACATCGATGATGATAGTGGTGATGATGATGCTGATGATGGTGATGATGCTGATGATGCTGCTGATGGTGATGATGATGGTTATATTGATGATGGTGTTTATGATTGTGATGATGATTCTGATGATGGTGTTGATGATTATGATGCTGATGGTGCTGATGATGCTGATAACAACGATGCTGTTGATGATTATGATGATGATGATGATGCTGATGGTGATGCTGATGCTGATAATGCTGCTGATGCTGTCGGTGATGATGACGATGATGACGATGGTTATTATGATGACGATGCTGATGTTTGTGAGAATATCGGTGATGATGCTGATGATGATTATGCTGATAATGATGATGGTGATGATGATGGTTGTGATGATAATGATGCTGATGATGAGGATGATGATTATGGTGATGATGCTGATGGTGATGATGATGGGGTTGGTGATGTTGATGCTCATTTTACTTATGATGATGCTGATGATGCTGACGATGATGATGATGATGGTGCTGCTGCTGACGATGTTGCTGATGATGATTCTGATGCTGATCATGATGCTGATGGTGATGCTGATGATGGTGTTGATGCTGCTGCTGCTGATGCTGATGACGATGATGATGCTGATGATGATGCTGCTGATGGTGATGATGATGCTGATGAGGATGCTGATAATGATCATTATAACGATGATCATGATGACGATGCTGATGATGCTACTGATGGTGATGATGATGATGATGATGATGCTGGTGATGATGCTGATAATGATGCTGATGGTGATGATGTTCATGATGCTGATGGTGATGATGATGCTGATGATGATGCTGATGATGATCATTGCAACGATGATCATGATGATGCTGCTGCTGCTGATGATGATGATGATGATGATGGTGTCCCGATGATGATGATGATGATGATGATGATGATGATGATGATGATGATGATGATGATGATGATGATGATGATGATGATGATGATGATGGTGATGATGATGGTGATGGTGGTGGTGATGATGATGATGATGATGATGCTGATGATGATGATGATGATGCTGTTGCTGCTGCTGCTGCTGCTGCTGCTGCTGCGGATGATGATGATGTCGGTGCTGGTGCTGGTGCTGGTCCTGCTGGTGATGCTTGTGGTGGTGGTGGTGGTGGTGGTGGGGGGAGGAGGAGGTTGAGGAGGAGAGGCCACTGTCCATGGTTTCTCTTCCTCGTTTCTGAGAGCCAGTGCCCTGAGGTCTGATGCGGCGATGGTGATGCGGGACGGCAAGTGGCAGCGGGTGGGCCCGCGGGGACGCGCCAAACCCTCCCCTGGCCAGTCCAGCCTGCCCGTCTCTTACCCTGGGTCGTGGTTGGGGGAGGGGAGGGCAGCGCTGCAGCGGCAATAGCAGTGGCAATAACAGCATCATCGGCAGTAACAGCAGCAGTAATATCAATAGCAGCAGTAGCAGCAGTAGCAGCAGTAGCATCAGCAGGTGGACGAGGAGGTCAGCGCGAGTGCACGATTGTGTGCCACAGGCGCTAGTTTCCACCTGGTTGTGCGTCCACTCCAATCTGGCCTCCTCTGCATACGACAGGGGAAGGAGGGGCTGGGTGGCGCAGGTGGGACTGCGAGCGGGGAGGGGAGGGGCTGAGGGGGGGGGAGGTATGAGAGGGGGGAGAGGCCCCCAACAGCACAGGAGGCGCGAGCAGCTCGGGGCCAGCCAGGGCAGCGTCAGCCACACCTGGGACGCACACCCCTCCCCCTCCCCCTCCTCCTCCTCCTCCTCCTCCTCCTCCTCCTCCTCCTCCTCCGCCTCCCCCTCCCCCTGCCCCTCCGCCTCCCCCTCCCCCTCCCCCTCTGGGCAGCTCGCTCCCAGGGTCGACATCTTTCTGGGGCTGCCTCGGGACGGGCACAGGCGGCGGGCCGCCCACGCGGAGCGGCGCACGCAGCCCCTCCCTCCCCGCAGTGCGCCCCTGGCACTGCCGCAGCGCGCGTTTGCACCACAGCCTCGTGGCAGGGGGCGTCCGTGGTGCCCGTGTTCACCATGGTCTCGTACGTTGCAAAGAGCGTTCGCAGCTCTTGGCGCCGTGCAGTGACGTTCGAGTTCGGACAGGGAACTCGTTCAGAGGGCGCCGGGCGTTGCGCAAGGGGGCGGGGCGATAATTGGGGGGGGGTGAAGGAGGGTGCACCTTTTGCGCCTCAAGGGGCCCTCGAGGGGCCGCCTGGGGCCCCACAGGGGCATGAACAAGGGCACGTCTCTTCGCCCTCTCCTTTATCGCCCCCCATCGGGTAACGCCCACGGGCATGGCCTGCGCATGGCTTGCAGTTGAGAGTTCTCTTTCTTTTCATGCGTAGTGGCGCCTGGGCGCCGACGATGTGCATAAGAGCACCACGCCACGCATGTGGTTGAGCCACATGTAATTTTTGGCCAATGTGGTATGAGGACGGGTGGGATGATGAGAGTAGAGCGGAAAGGGTGATGAGGAGGAGCAGGAGGACGACGACGAGGTGGGAGACCGAGGACATTAGGAAGATATCCCTAAGACTCAAACGGCATTTTCAGCATGACTCATTGACAGTTTGTCGGCGGCGCGCCTGGGGAGAAGCGAGCAGGGGCGGGTCCTTGTGAGACGCAAACAATCTTCTCGGAAGGAGCGAGGGCTTCTGGGAAGCCCCGCCGCCTTTGAGAGAAGGCCTTCTCCTTCTCACTTCCCCCCCTCGCTCGCCGCCGAGTTTGGACCGCTTGCTGGTCAGGGAGTCTCGCCAGAGGAGCACGGGGACGGTGGCCAGGTGGGCGAACGAGGCGAATCAGGGGGGTACTCGAGGCCCGAACTGCACGTTTGATATGGACCGCTTGCTGGTCAGGGAGTCTCGCCAGGGGCCCCGCGGGCACGGCTCGGATCCTGCTCTTCTGAGCGGTGCGAGCCCGTGCCGCCTCGGGCCGCCTCTCGGGGAGGGGGGGGCGAGCTCTGGCATCGTGCGGCGTGTACCTGGCGCACGGGCTCCAGTACGGTCGGACCGAGGCATGAGATCGAGGTCGGTTCGAGGAAGGTGCACCTAGGGCGACGAGGTCTATACGTATCCACTGCTCCCTGGCCAGGCCCATCTTGAACTCAACAACTGCGTATACGTCCTCCTAATTAGGCCAGGACGGCGTGGCGTATGCACCGCTATTGGGTTAAGGATGGGCCTTGCCAGGGAACACTATAATATTAATGTGTATATTCATGTATGTATAGGTGTGTAGCCATGTATGTATGTATACCTATACATGCATGTATATGTATACGTACATGTATATGTATGTATATGCATGCACGTATGTTTGCATCTAGTCATGTATGCAGGCATGTATATACATGCATAGGTGTTTGCACGGATTCATTATACGTATACGCATGTTTGTGTGTGTATGTATATATATATATATGTAGGTCGGAATTTGTGTATACATGAATATTTAAGTATGCATGCATGCATGTACGTAGACACCCACGTTTATATGTATGTATATATGTATGCATGTCTGTAACCATATGTATATATATATATATATATAGGTATATATGCATGCACGCATGCATGCATGCATGTATGCATGCATGCATGCATGCATGCATGTATGTATACACATGCATGTATGTAGGTATGCATGTGCGTATACATGTATGTTCGTATGCGCGTATGGTTTTTTTTATGTGTATGCATGCATGCATGATTGCCTGTATGTATGAGTGTATGTGTGTATGTATGTATGTATGCATGTATGTATGTATGCATGCATGCATGCACGCACGCACGCATGTATGTGTGTATGTATGTATGTATGTATGTATGTATGTATGTATGTATGTATGCATGCATGCATGCATGCATGCATGCATGCATGTATGTATGTATGTATGTATGTATGTACTTATGTACGTGTGTGTATGTATGTATGTATGTATGTATGTATGTATGTATGTATGTATGCATGCATGCATGCATGCATGCATGCATGCATGTATGCACGCACGCACGCACGCACGCACGCACGCACGCACGCACGCACGCACGCACGCACGCACGCACGCACGCACGCACGCACGCACGCACGCACGCACGTACGTACGTACGTACGTATGTATGTATGTATGTATGTATGTATGTATGTATGTATGTATGTATGTATGTAGATGTGTATAGATCGGTGTATGTATGTATGTATGTATGTCTATATATATATATATATATATATATGGATATTCATTCCGTCGCCCTTACCCTACATGTCCTCAGTGTTTCTTGGATGCCCTTGAGAGGGATTCCCTCGGCGATTGATGGTTTGGGGTGTTTTGGCCGGCGGAGGGTCTCATGTTCTTGAAGGATGTTCTTCTGTCCTAGGTCGGCCGTACATCCCATTCGAACTGTGCGCGGTTGGTGTTGAAGTAGGTAAAGCTCGCTGCACACAATGTAATAACGCCCGGCCGCCCGCGAGAACTCATCCGATATAGTTAGTGTCGCAACCTTCCGGATCAAGCATCAACACCACATGATCAGGACGATGAGGATGAATACGAGGAGGAGGATGTGGAGGAGGAACATCATGACGTGTAAGATCTGTGGGCTGGAGCGCAGAGGGAGGCATGAAGGGAGGTAATAGGTGAAGTTGCGACGTCTGTCTTGCCCATGACCACGGCGGTGTTTTTCTTTGTTGTGTTCACACGAGGACTTTATCCGTCGGCAGCTGAGCGTGCGGCGACACAGCGGTAACAGGGGTGCATCAGTCGCGTCTAGGTTTGCTCACACTCGCACACGCATGTTGCTTCGCCAGTAAGTGCTGCTGTGCTCAATGGCTCTGTGGTGCTCACAAAGACAGCGGTGCCGATAAGCTGAGGTGCTTATATATTGTTTGGTGCGCAAGCAAAGCAGTAATTGTCATTCGTGCCCGCTTGCGAGCCATTGCGGTTTTGGTGCGCACATGCGCTACGACCGCACCTGGTTTCGAGGCTGTGGTTCACGTGTGCTTTGCTGTAGTGCCGGGGGCACGCTGTGGGGGGTGGAGGTGGGGGCGATTTGCCCCTTAACACACACACACGCACTCACATATCTTGGGTGTTGCTAGAAGTGCCCACGGTGCCCCAGGATTAAGGAGGCCCACACGGCTTCCAGAGCACCCCTCGCGAGGCCCAGAGGGCCCAGGGGCTCCAAGATTGAGCGAAAAGCTTGGGGCACCTTCGGCCAGGGGTACCTATAGCAACCCCCGAGCCACGGGCGTTCAGACTACCAGAGACACGTGCCCTCGTGTCTCTTGTTTGCGGTCCATGTGCTGGTCTGCCGTCGGCGGGTCTGGGCCGAAGCGCTGGTCAGGATGGCTTCCAGGGGCGCTCTGGGGGCTGGTCTTGGATCGGGGGGGGGTTCGATTGGGCTCCAGTCTTCTCCTAGGTGTGCGACAACCTTTTCCCGTACCCAGCTTCCTCTGGAGGCCCTTGGGAAGACCGAGGGTGCCCGCAGTTGTGGGCCAGCGTGGCCGACCTGGTTCACGGCCGCCAGGCCTTGAGGAACGGGCTCTCGCTCAAACCAGGCTGAACACTCTTGTTTGGGGCTGGGCAGTGCGGCGCCGGGGCCCCGTGCTGACCTCTCGTGTGATTCTGCCGCACTGCTTCTGTCGAACCGCTTGGGGATCTTCCCCAGCCTCTTGTCGAACTTCCGCTGACTTTGCATCGCTGTGTACGTTGTTTCTCGGCGAGGACCGTCGAGGAGCATTTTGGGCCAACTTGCGACAAACATGCACGCACGAAGTCGGAACATGCACGGGGAGTGGATGTCCGAGCGATGGAGAGCTGATGGGTGTGCGAGATCGGCGCCGGAAGCCATGGCAGCAGGAGCCAGCCCCGCTTGCCATCCTCGAGCTTCTCGCCCGTGCGTGCGTGCGTGCGTGCGTGCGTGCGTGCGTGCGTGTGTGTGTGTGTGTGTGTGTGTGTGTGTGTGTGCGTGCGTGCGTGCGTGCGTGCGTGCGTGTGTGTGTGTGTGTGTGTCTGTGTGTGTGTGTGTGTCTGTGTGTGTGTGTGTGTGTGTGTCTGTGAGTGTCTGTGTGTGTGTCTCTGTGTGTGTGTGTGTGTCTGTGAGTGTCTGTGTCTGTGTGTGTGTGTGTGTGTCTGTGTGTGTGTGTGTGTGTGTCTGTGTGTGTCTGTGTGTGTCTGTGTGTGTGTGCTGTGGGCGCCAGGAGGAGCAGGCGAGGGAGGAGCCTTCCCTGCCGCGCAGGTGGAGGCGGCAGACATCGTGCCGGGTGACATCGTGGAAGTCAAGGCCGTCGGGCGGGGCTCGAGCGTTCTCGTGGCCCGGAGGGGGGAGAGCCTGGAGGGGTCGGGGGCCTCGAGACGGGGGTCAATGCACCCGCGTGGACTTTGCATTTTTCCTTGACGTGGATGGCGGGCCTGCATAATTACGCGGTGCGGTATGATTGCTTCCCCGTCGTTCGTGTTACACAAAATCAGTACCGACTGATCGAGGGGCGCCCGAGCGTGACCCTGATTTTGTCGCAACGTGCCTTGTGTATTATTTTTCACGAGGGCTGTGTGTGTATGTGTGTGTGTGTGTGTGTGTGTGTGCTGCTGTTCTGGGCCAGTCGAGTGGGGCAGGGGGTGCTTTCAAATCAGGAGCAGTGAACAACCCCTCCTCGAAAGGGGACGACTGGGGCTGGAAGCGGAAGCGAAAGACCGCCAAAACACCGCCCAGGCAGGCGATTACCGCCAAGGGCCGCCCCAAAGACAGCGAAGTGCCCCCTAAAGACCTTCGAGAGCCACCGAGGGCGGCGGGCGACGAAAGGAACCATGGTCGAACGGACCTCTCGATGAGCACCTCCCGAGCTCGCGGGCCCGCGTTCGCGCGTGCACGGGCCAGTGGTGCACAGTCGGACCGAGGTATGAGATCGAGGTCGGTTCGGAGAGGGTACCCTAATGTTTTTCGTGTTTGTTGGATGTTCTTGTGCACCCTGGGGAGGGTACCCTTGGATGTTCTGCGCGTTTTGGCTGGCGGTGGATCTCGTGCTCTTGAAGAATGTTTGCTGTCCGAGATTCGACTGTACACGGCCCTGCGTGGAGC